GAATGCTACTTCCTCTCTTTTTTGCCACAAGGAGTTCATTAATATAATGCAACAGTCAAAAGGAGGAAATTGTAGATAGGAAAAGGCCAAGTGACTGAATGTACAGAGGTGAAGCACATGAACCTCCCTGAGGACGTTTCAAGAAGGGCTGCTCTTAAAGGAATGCAGGGCAGCTGACATTTACGTCTTCAGTTACCGCACAGTTTTTATAGTCTTTAATTTACATTGACTCTGTATTTTTTCAGTTATATCATGCTCAATGACGTTGTGAGGCACTGAATAACAACTTGATTTACATTCATACGGAGCATGTGTCACTGTTCACTCTGTGAACACAATATAAGTCTACTGCTCTGATATGTTTGTATATATGTTAATTTTCCATGAACAAAATGTAGTCCTGTTGCACTGATATCATCTTAAGCCAGATGAGGCAACTGCAAACACTGTACACAGTAGAATCATGAGCTCAGTAAAATTAATATTAGGCTGAAGTGCTTAACTGGTATTGCCTGAGTAGTTTTAAGAGCATGGACAATTACAGGCATGTTCCTCAGTTGACCTTTTGGGGAGCTCAGGTCTCAAAGTGCCACCGAGGGTATCAGATTGATACAGGCCTTTATGGACTAAAAACAGCTGCCTCCAAATACACACATAGCCTGACAGAGGCCACAGTTTTCAGCTCCAGCAACTCAGGTTTCATAGTTTGACACAGACACAGTGATACTCTTTTGGATTCTGTCACAACTGATGACAGAAGCTGCTCCATGTTGGTCTCTGCTGAGAGCTCGGCTTTAGTGGTAATTCACCTTCCATGACCACAGTTTTTCTCAACCTCAGGAAGATCTGAAAATTATACAGTGTGGTCTCACAGTTTTAAATGGCTCTATACTGTAAATATCACCACTTTTGTAGAGCTTATATACTTTAATAGTGTGGTGGCACAAGTCACATACTGTAAATCTTTAATAAAAATATAATATTCAGGTATAAAGAACAGATATTTTTCTACTGAAATATTGAAATAAAAAACAAGAGTGGTTGTGCAAGCATAACTCATAGACTTTCCTTTCTTCCTCTGTCTTTTCAGGGGACCCAGAGATCCCCAACCACCTCCTGTGGCGCCAAAGGTACTGTAACATGGCATGTCATTGAAATAACACAAAGTGAGAAACACAAACAGCACAGCATGTCTATTCATAGATTACAAGAAAATGATTTAATTGTGGCACACCAGGTGAAAAATGAGATTCTGGCTAGATAGATGTAAGACATTACATTTTGAATCTATACTTAATATACTTTCACTTGTGTTACCATGTGCTAAGTTTTTTTAATGGTCTTATTTTGTTATTACACCCTTCTGAAACGATGCCTCACACATTTTTTGTTGCATGACAGCTTCCTTTATTTTTATTTGGCTTATTCTTGCTATATGTTTGTTTTATTATAAATGCCGGTTAAGAATAATGATGCTTCTATTTTTTCCTCCAGGGATTCAATTTGAAACTTTAATTTAAATTTTTTTTTTTTTCAGATTAAAAAAAATTGAATCAACCTTTATTACCTGGACTAATGATGACAAATCCATAGCTCCTAACCTGGGAGGCATTAGTGTACTGTGTGCTGTGATGTGATTTATTTTTGTGTGTATCTGCATGCTTTTCTCTCATACCGGTAGGGTGACAGATCAGACATCATAAAACCAGTGGCGCTCACCCATCCTCCTCCACCACCCCATTCCCACCCTCACTCCTTCACCTCCTCTGCCTTCCCCTATAATAAAACCCCCAGACCTTATGGGGGCTGTGGATCAGAGAGTGAATATCCTGCTTCACAGTCACCTTTTGCTGCTTTCATCCCATCCCCATCTTCTGCCTTCACTCCTGCCTCGTCCTGCACCAATCCTTTTCCTTCCCCTCCTCCTCCACCTCCTGTCTCTTACCCATCCTCTTCCTCCTCCTCCTCCTCCTACTCCTCCTCGGCCCCTGTCGTTGTTCCGCCTCAGCCATCGGTGTATAACACGCCAATCAACCTATACTCCACTGAGAATGCATGTGAGGTGGCCATGGGGCAGAGGCGTGGCCTATTGGAGAGTCAGGGTGGAGCCTTGCCGCTGCAGTTTAATGGGTGAGTGGCGGTGTCTCCAGCCAATCAGATTAATCAGTTGTTGGTCCTTTCATTATCTCTAACTTTCTTCATCTCAGTTTTCAAACTGTAAAATGGGATATGGACTGACTGACATCTACACTTCATTTTTTTTCTTTCCTTTTCTGTTGGTGTGTTTTGATGATTCCTTCACAGAATCACACAATTTTAGAAATACAGATGACGTTTTGAAATACCAATATGTGCAGTAGACTCATCATTTGTTTGTGAGAATCGGGAACTAGAAAATTGATTACACCCTTGTTATTTTTTAAGTTTGTGCTTCATTTCTGTTGAAGTGAGATAAGTATATGGTTACAGAAATATCCACATCTATTATGGTTTACAAAATAGTTTTTTCCAAGTCTATTCCAAAGTTTATGAAAATTGTTTATTCCATGCAGACACCCAATCAGGCTTGCCAGGTCCAACTTTTGAAGTCTTGGCAGTGATAGTCAAAGTTCTTCCACACCATTAAATCACACTCAAATGTCTGTTTGTTCAGAAGAAAAAAGCATTAAAACTTAAACAACATATTTGACTCTACACACAGTATTGCGATTCAAGAGAAGCTGAGTTGAACTGGGAAACCGAGACCAAGTTAAATATAATGTTTCTATTTCTGGATTTTATTTATATTTGTGTTGAAATGCGACAGTCTTAACTTGGCACTGTGCATCTGGTTTTGTTGCCAATAAGAAAAAAAATGTAGCCAAACTAACAAAAATACTGTCAGTTATGGGTGCACCTTGAAACACTGATACAACAGGTAAGAAATTTAAAGTGGGCTGTTCTACCATTTGTTTATTATAACATTTTGGGTAGAGAAATTATGCATTGAAAGACATGTAACAGCGTGACCCAGTCTCATCGCAGGGGTCAAATACTGATGTTTTGTCATGTACCTTTTCCACTGCATACTGATGTGTGTGAGACATTTTTCAGTACAGAACTTTGTTAACCCACTGACGTCAGTATGACACGCCAAAGGTACTTCACACAGCATCTTTAAACCCCTTGGATTTATGCACAAAAGCTATTTGTTTTGCCACTAAAACATCATAGTTATGTTTAGGCACTGAAACTACATGGCTAGGTTTACAGAAAAGCCCATGTATTGGGTAAAAGAACAAAGTGTCACTCACTGGAGTCGAACTCCACTCTCCTGTTTGTATGTTTGATCTATCCATCCGCCCTAAACAGCTCCTTCCAAATTTTTGCCATTATATATTTAAAAACCCCGTGCATCTTCCATGAACACCAATAGCTCACTTGAGTGTCTTTATATGCCACAGGAGGTAACCCTAATCGTCCCAGCCAGACGCCAAAGGTACTTGACAAATCACTATTTGATGCCCTGGACATGAGAACAGGCTGAATAGCCATGTTCTGGTGATGTAAAGCTGGAGAACTGAAGGACCTCAACTTTTGAAATCCTCTAAAAATAATAGATAAGTTAAACACAACCTTAAGCTGTTCATATTTAAGAATTTAAATTATAGTTTATGTTCAGCTTTAAAGAGGAACTACTGTAAAAACACTCACATACTCACTCACCTAATGACTTGTGTTTGTGTATCTCCCCTCCTGTTTTATCATGAGTGGTTAATCATATATAAAATGCATATTTGCTTCTTGAAGTAGAAGTGGAGCTCTTCACTGTGGCCCCTCTTTATTTTGTATTGAGCCTAGATGTCTGAGAACAGCACCATACTGCCACTGTGGTGGCATTTCAATGGTCACTAGCATTTCAGAAGAAACCTCACTGAGTAAAAATTCACTCATGTCTAGTACATTCACCCTCTCTGCCTCTCTGCTGTTAATTCATCTGGTTCATTTTCCCATTTTTACACCCAAGCATCAGGTCCTGCCTTTCTCAACATAATTCCCACCATCATCTTATTCCCCCTCTGTTTCTGTCTGAACCCTGTTCCTCTCTCCCCAGAAGCATAGTGAGTATAACTATCCTATGATGCTATGACTAAGCTGTGTATATATAACCTGCACTGGTAACTCGACCTTTGTAGCATTCTTTTAGCTCTTGTAGCATATCGGTCCATCAGTAAAGGTTTCAGCCCATATAGATTTACACATGCACTGCCTCTCTTCACAGACTAATACACCTCTACCAAGCCATTTTTCTTCAGTTGTCAACTCATAGTTGTAGTGATTTCATCTCAAAACTGGAGGGCATGCATAAAAGTTTTTGATTTATTTTCTTAAGTAGGCTCAATATATTCTTTGTTCATTTCATGTTTGTACTGTCACGTTGCTCTTTGGTGGTTTCTCTTTCTGTGAGACTCAGCAGACACCAGTGATCTACACAATATAATCTTACACCATGCAATCATGCACGCATGCACAGAGAGACGAGCTGTATTTGAGTTGGGTACATAGACTTCACAAGTATCACAGATGACACTTAATAACACTTGTTACTTTATTAAAGCTTGAGCTTGATCTTTCTTTAGTATTTGTATGGTTTTGACTTGTTTTTTTACATAAATATTTACACTGGACTGTCTTTTTAGATTTTTCACTCTCTTTGCTATTCAACTATTACAGTAGTTATTTTGGTCATCCACAGACTCAGTCATTCTCCAGCATGTATTCATCCTTGCATCTTTCTTGTTTGCTTGCATGCTGTAAATGAGCTGTGTGGTTCGTTTCAGAGGGGACTTTTGGATTATTTTTCTTGTAAAGTGAAAAGAATTCAGACACACATGTATGTCAGTGTTCTCTCTCTCTTTGTATCTTTCCTTCAATCCTTGTTTTTCTGCTTTGCAGACTGCAGCAGCTCATCCCGGCAATAAGTTAGTCTCTCAAATTAAAAGTGTTTGACTGCCCGCTCTCCTTTTTGTAATTTACCTGCTCACCTCTTACTGTGTGTCTGTGTGTGAATACTGCATCATGACATCTGCATGAATTTGCTTATTAGTTTACTGCAAAAAATCACTTTTGTATATTAAGCAGTTTATATTTTGGCACATAACTTAAGGTTAACACTCAGGTGTTGACATCTGCAGTCAGTGCAACATCCTTGTCATAATTTAACATGATTATTCATTGTAATGTTCACTTGGCTTAACTTCATTTTTACACTGTGAACTGCAGTGTTGTAGCACACGTGCGCTCGAAAAGATCAAATGAACCCCGACCTTTGAAAGGGAATGTACTGATGTGACAGTATATATTTACCTCAGCTATAAATCACAGATATTGATATTGATGCACAAATGCGTACACATATACAGATTCTATTGTAAGGCACTTCCTTCATAACAAAGTTTATGGCCAGGCTCACACAGGGCTCTCAACCCTCCTATAGCTGCATACCTGCTACTGTGACAAGAATGTGTTGTGGCACATTCATAAATCAGTCTATTCAGTGTGCTAGGTGAGTGTGTTAGTGGGTGTGTTTATTTATAGGCCATTTATTGACAGCAATGCCTAAAAAGTCTCCAGTGCTCCTCTGTGTGTGTGTGTGTCCCAAGAGTTGATTTATTGACAGCCCATTAGCAACAGGGCTTTCAGCACCTTAATGCCAAGGAAGACTGTGGATACACACATATTTACAGTATTGTTTTAACTGTACATTCATACAAACACAATCCACACAAAATTGCTGCACACTCATCAAAACAAAAGTGCATGTTTTCCAACAAACACGCATCTAAATAATCTTAATTCCCACTTGACGTCCACATGATGATTGTACCGTTACAGACTTCCAGTCAATTCAACAGCACCACAGGGTGGTTGAAAATTGAACTGACTCATTTACGTTACTTTTTCTCATATAAATGTCTCCATGGATATTTATTTTAGCTCTGTGTTGTGCATGCACTGAAGATTGTGGTCCATAAGTTAATGTTTTCTACTTTCATCATTACAGCTATTTTCTACTAACTTTTAATGTTAACATTTCCTTTAAGTGGTTCTTTATAAATTAATCAATTCCTCACCCTTTTATCTCTTCTCTGTCTTCTTCCTTTTGTTCAGTGGACCTCACATTGTTGTGAAGTAAGTGTTTTCACGTACACTAATTCCAGTGTCTCTTTATGTCTGTTCTCATTATTGTCGAAGTATTTTCCCCTGCCTTTGTTTATTTGTTTCTGTTTTCTTCTGTCCTGTTTTTCCCCTGTCTTTTTATTTTTCAAGAAAACCTCAGCCACCAAGGTATCAGCTTGGTGTAGATGTAGACACCAAATTCATTTAACAAAGTGTGGTGTGATTTGTTTGCCCCCTTCTTCTTGTTTATTAAGCACAAAATAATTTAGTCTTATTATTTTTAGTGTCACCTTTTCATGTCATGTAACATATAATCATCTAACAATTAAATCCATATCCATTCATCCATCAAATTTTTTATTATCCATCATTTTTTCATTTTCCATTTATCTGATAGGGGGTCAAAGGCAGGTAGGGCAGGTGGGAGGTATGTGGGTTAGGGCTGGAGTCAATGGCAGCTAACACTGGATGAGAGGCGAGGTACATCATGGACAGGTCAAATTTCCGTGGCTGAGTAAATAATAATGTGTCTGTACTATATATGAGTTTAAAAGCCTTTACTACAAGTAATCACCTAAAAAAGTAAACATGCAAAACATGGTAATATGCTCTCGAGGACAGATCTACAGTACTTACGACCTAATATGTCTTATAGTAGAAATCGTTATATAAGTATTTGCAGAATTAAAAATTATACATTTGAATGTAACTAATATTATTACCTCAGAGGAAATGACTTCAGTCTTCATCTCTGCTACTTTGACAGATTAGATTTGAAGTTTTCTGATGTCATCCATCCATCTACCCTGTTCTTACAGAGTTCCAAGGAAGCACATTGTGGACACAGACATCCATTTTTACCACGTGCCCACTCATGCTAATGCCAGCAGGAAGCGTATAATGGAGGACACAGAGGACTGGCGTCCGCGCACCGGCACCACCCAGTCCAGATCCTTCAGAATTCTGGCTCAGATCACTGGCACCGAGCATGGTACTTTACTGACTGACTGAAGTGGAGCAGTGACTATGCTTGCATAGTCATTACACAGACTGTTGTTAGTGTTTCTGAGTACAGTGGGCCGTCCATACATACTGTAGGGCTTAGTGTAGCTAGATCATGATGCTGTGTAACATATCATTAGATTTTATATGTAGAGAATAAAGAACACCTTTTTTAGTGAAAGCTTTAATATTTCCATTCTTTCTTTTGTAGCTGAAGAGGAGGAAACTGACCAAGCCAAGAAGACAAGGTAAGTGCATGGCCATGAAAACTCTGACTTACTGTGGTTTTAATTACTCTAGTCTCCCTAGTTTTGTTTGTTGCTGCTTGTTTGAATAATTGAATTGTGTGGAATAGAAGCACAAATTCCTGAAAATCTGCTCTTCCCATTTACTACTGTTTCATCTAATCCACTCAGTTGAGGGCCTCTAACATTCACTGCAAAGACTACATTTATGCAGCAGCAGAAGATCTTAATACCAAACCTCTGTGGCACAGTTCTGGCAATTGTATTGATGCTGAGTGGGCTCTTCCTGTCTAGACAGGATCCATTAAATCAAAAGCCAGGCTTGTTGCCACTGAGCAGTATGTTAGTTATCAAAACCTCAAAAAGCAACTCTGATTACATTTTCTTCTCAGATTGTTGAAGGTCAGTTTTAAACACCATGTCAGTGGCCGACAGTGCCTCCATCTGTGTCAAAGTGTAGTCATATTTAATGGTTTGTGTGCTCCTAGTTGTGCTTTTAGTTGTGGATGTGACAGCATTGCACTGTTGTTAAACCTGTAATGGTGCTGCTGACAGTCATGGCTTGGCAGTGTGTTCTCACTGTGAGGTGATCCGTTGGCTGTCCATTTCTCTTGGTGGTTTGTGATCTCCTGTGTGTTTGTGATGTTACCATTCAGGCATTCCCACTGACTTCCGGTGTTGACGGTGTTGGTGTGTGTCCTCAGTGTTAAATAAATTAATAATTTCCATCCCATACTGACCATGAAATAGACTTTTTGGACACAAGAAATGACAAGTGAACTTTTTTCATTCTTTACATTGATTCCAGTAATGTTCTATTATTTAGGTTTACACCTATACTGCCCATCTCCAATACATCTAAATATTTCCTGTGTATCATGGACTTTTTGTCTGTCAGATTATTTTAGCTGTATATCATCATCCTCCCCCTGTGGCATGGCTTACAGTGTGTCTCATCACAGAAGTCAGTCTACTTCACCTATACTCTTTTTTTTCTCGTTCTGTTTTTCTCTTCTTTTCTCCTCCTCTTACTCTTGTGTGCTGGATGGCAGATTGAACAAGTCCACCACTCGTTTGGTGATCGGCCCTAAGTACAAGGAGCTGAGAGACTGGCACCACGGGGTGTCTGCTCGCACCCTCAATGTCCAGTAGACTGTGTGTGTGTGTGTGTGTTTGTCTGTCTGTATATCTGTACACCATATCTGTTTGACTACTGTAGATGGTTGTTAATGATCTGGTCTGATGAAGGGATACAAGCCTGTGGACTAGTGAGTATAGAGGATGTAAAAGGGTCTGTGTGTGTGTGTGTGTGTGTATGGGGAGGGGGGTTGCTTTCACTGTTACTTTATGTGCCTGTAATGTGCTGGCCTCAATCAAATATTTAATTAGGTAGAGTTGTGTAAATACACACTCTTATCAGTGTGTGTTCACTTTCACCTCATTATATACCAATTTTGAGTGTGATTAAAGTGTACGCTACTTTTTCTGCACACCTAAAACCATGTCAGTGATTTCAGTACAAGTTGACTGTTAGACTAAAATAACTATGATTTCAGCTAGGTTCTCGTGTGGTTGTGTGTGGCATCGTTTTCCAACACTGGAGTAAAGAGTCTGATTCTGAGACAAATCTGGCTTTGCACTGCATGAGTACCCAGCGCACTGAACAGTTACATATGATTCTTTATGTGCATGTTATAAAAGACTCTTCAAACCTATTTAAAAGCTTTAATGCCTTGTTTACATCTGTTGTATTTACTAGCGTCTGAATTATTTTATAAACACAGTATCTTGAAATATGGTTGCATCTGAAAAAGTGGAAGCCATGTCAACGTGTTATGCATGTATGTACAGTATATATATATATATAAACCAGTAGCGAAAACAGCAGCTTGCTATATGCTATGCTGCTGGGATGTAACAATCAGAATGATGCTTTGTGACATTTGGAGGGTATAAGGTACAGTATATGCAAGTAAGAAAGGCTCTTTTCAAAAGGCAAGTTGTTGAGATTTGATGGTGTGAAAAGTGACTGTATAAATTCTAATAATGACTTGTAATGCAACGGTATTATTTTGAGGCCCTTGCTATGTAAAATATTCTTCTGTGCCTTTGCATTTATTTCATCTCTATGTTTACTTCCTGCAGACTATGCTAATGTTTATTATAGTCTCACCTTGGAGATTGTAAATCTAGTGACTGATATTTTTCTCGTGTGTGTTATGAGTTTGGAAGAGTATTATGCAGTACTGTAGCAAATAAAGTAATTGTGTTTTTCTTGTTTCCCTTTCTCTTGCTTTGGTGTCCCTTTTCTTCCTTCGTTTCCCCTCTCCATCTTTAACGCCTTCACTCTTTTGTCTTCTAGTTGCCCCGCTGAATTTGAGATAGATAGCGGAGACGTCAGATACACTGTAAATTATCACCTGCTATAAACCTGTGACCCGTTTTTCATCTTTTCAGCTGTCATCTTGAATTGTTCCTTGAAACAGTAGTAAGTTTGGAAGAAGTCACAAAGAAAATTATCACTCTCATTTAATCACAATTGTCCTATGAACTACTAAAACTGAACTTTTGTAATTTGTTGTGTAGAAAAAGCAAAAACAAATAATTTGATAAATTATAGATTGAACATTTAATCTAATCTATATAATTTAATCTATATCTAATCCTCAAAGTTTTATCTGAGACTTGGCAAGCCTTAACAGTGAGGTTAGTGCATTCACTGGTCTTTTTCACACTTCATTTCACTCTTAATTTTAAAAAAGACAAACTCCTAAGGTTCATATTGTTTATTCAAAACACCAATATACAACCCAACATCAATATTTTCTGCTATCTGTTGTCTACCGGTGGCGGGTGTTCATATTCTGACCAACTAGGTGTTTCCCTTGCAGTGCTCAGTGGCTGACCACAGCCACAAGCAAGAGGCTCATCAGCCAGTCAGCCACAATCCCAAACCATGACTTCATTTCCAGTCCTGAAAGCATTTTAATCTCTTGACTTAAACTGTTAATTCTGTCCACATGTCAACTACAGCCCAGCCATTTGTTGAACATAAACAATCTGTCAGCTCCAGTCCTAGTAGCTTTAACATATATTTACTCAATCCAAACCAAATGCCATCATCTCTTACCCATCACTGTAGCTTTTTAAATGCCAAATTTGGCAACTAGCTTGCCCCATTCTTTTCTTGGACTGGGTCCTGTTTGTACCTAGACTCCAGCATACACCATTATCCATCCTTTTTCTAACCAAAACAGTAGGAGTATACTCCCCATGTGATAGCAGTTCTTTACCAGAACCAAGCACTAGAGGCTTCTTCTGATCTCGTCCTTGCCCTTAGACCAGCTACTTCAGATGTTACTCCTACAGCTCCACCAAGTTTTCAGATGCTCACTGCAGAAAGGTACACTGGGTTTGGGATGGTCTGCCTTAAATCCGGAAATAGCTTTGACTGGGGCAATCATGTTTTAAAATGTTTTGCTGAGATTGAGCAATTCTCCAGTGACACCAACAGAGGGCAGCACAGGCTTGGAAAAGTTTGGGTCCAGTAAGTGTTTGACTGGACATGATGGTGATGACTATAAATTAGATAATCCTGCTACTGAGTCTCAGTTTGACCTTTCACCCCAGCACAGGTGTTGCACCTCAATTCTCATACTGGATACACATGAAGAAAACATTTCACTGACAGGTCATTTGCTCTAATTAGTTAACTATCTTTCTAATCTGTGCTGTCCTTCCTTGCTCTCTCTCTTTCTCAGTTCCCAAGTCTATATTACCTATGTTGTTTATCTCATGCCTGTATGTAAGTGTTTCCTCATATACTCCCCACCTGACCAGTCAGGTACATGGTTATGTTGATTTTCATCATATTTCCTAATCCTCATTAATTGCTGCAGCAGCTACACATTAGTTCATCTGCATTCAGTATACAAAGGAACAACATCAAGCTGCCACACTTACTGAAACTGTTTTATATACTGCTATGTGTGTCGTCTGGAGTTCCTGCCCCCCTTCCCTCGCCCCCAGTGCGCCAAAACAGCCTGCATGACACTCACACCCTTCATAGTTCTGTGTAGGTACTGAAAGGTACTGTAAATACAGCATGTAGGATTTTTACTATTACTCAGATATTTTTCTTTTCTTTTTTGAGTCATTTTGATAATGACTAACAATTGGCATTATGATCCCATCATCCTATCCCTTTTCTCTTTCTCAGCGTGTTCTCACCCGATCAGAACAAATGATCAGATCAGTTTCTGGCAGTGTCTCAGTCCTTACTGGACACCCTGCTCATCACTCCAGTCATTCAAGCTCCGTCACTACACTTGAGGAAGAAGTGTCATAGTGTGAGCAAGCCCAAGAGCAGGGAAAAATTTGCTTTACTGAAAATGGTCTTGATTTTACAGAATTTTGAGTTAAAGTACTGGGAAACAATCAATGTTTAAGTCAAACACTGAACATTACTTTGGTTTAAATTTTTTTTTTTTTTAGATTATGTGTAGTCAAGGCCCTTGTGTCCACTGAACATACTATCCAAAAAGCCATGTTTGTTCAACCCATGCTAGCGCCAAAAGACATGGTCCATATGTCTCTGTGGAGACAACTCATACCAGCTATAGCATGCTGTGGCCACTGTGAACCAACTTGGCAGCGTCTCACAGAGATCAGTCATTGGCTAGTGGATTCAGCTGTGCACATTTAAACCACAAAGTATCAAAAGTGTGTGTGTTGTGCATGTGTGTGTGGCAGTTTGAGTGGGTGTCTGGGTGGGTGTCTTTGTTATTGCATGTGAATGCACACACATGGATGGTATAGCATGTGAGTACTGAATTTGATCCAAAGAATATCACCGTACTAAATTATATACCATCTGTTGTGTGGTGGAGAAAGCTGCTGGACAGCAGTCAGCTATGTAAGTGGACCATTTGTCCATTGCTCAAACGAAACCAACACATTTACGAGATGTCTAATACATGTTCTCAGTGGAGCTACAGTACACCAGGGGTTACTTTACATATGAAAACAGTTGGGTGTCTGAAATGTACCCTTTTCCCCTCATTATCACTTAATACCAGCAACATGACGTCTCATTATTAGGCAGCATACAGTGCTGAAAACATACTTCAATTAAGACAAACACAGGAAAACAACAGGGACTCAGAGCAAAACCACTGATTGTGTGATACAGTACATGATGTAAAATTCAAGGATGCGCTCTGTTAATGTAAAAAGGAGTGAAATGCAAAGACAGATCAAAAAAGTAAGAAAGATCTACAGAAAACAAATGTACTCCTCACCCCCTCTGTTCTCCAGGCAGTCTTTAATTTCCTTCAGTTAACAAGGCTCACATGTGGCCCTGTGTGTCCAGATGGTCAGCACTCTAACTGGCTACTATTGAATCAAAATAGTGGGGTTCTCCATTAATCAACCAATCACAGCCTTCACAATATAATTACGCTTCTATGTAATTGGGCTGATTGGTGGAGAATATTAACGAGCTGTGCTGTAATTGGCTCTAATGAATGAAGAAGTGGGGGGCATCTTATTTCCTGCTCTATTTGTCACCTGTTGTTAGCCAATTACCAGGGCTAACATGAGTCAGTGTTAGCTTGTTCACCAAGCTAATTGGAATAGATGGTGCTACAGCCTTTAATTTCACAGGGTTTAATAGTCTAATAGCACAATGAGGATGAGCTTTTTCCTGTTCTTTACAGGAGCATTCCACTTTATAAGTTCACACCAGCTGAGTCTATTGTTTCCTTTTCCATTTAGAGAAGACTGTGAATTTAGTTTGGTTACTTGGACAGCTTACATTCAGTATATACTTGCTTAATTTACCTCCTACCTTCTGGTTCTTAGGGCTCAGGACACTTTTTATGTGTGTGTTTGTTTGTAAAATACTGGGCACCTTTACTAGTTTTGGCCTCTAAAACGCTCTCTCTATATACCATATATACTCATGGAATTTAAAAACACACCACTCACATTTGTCAAATTAAAGAAATATTGGTCAACATTTTTGAGTGCTCTTAGCTTTGTTTTGTTTCAACACTAAGAATGTGCTAAAACAATGAAAATCTATCTACTGTATCTATCTATCTTAAGGGGTCATAGGCTTACCATTACATTTTATACAAAGAGAACTGGAGTCAGCATCAAACAGTGACTTGTGAAGTTAACCCCACCTGTTAATTATAAGGTGAATTATAAGAATTCATTTGATTTTTTCGATACTCATTTCACTTACATTACTGACATTTCTAAGCATAACTGGAGTAAGTACTTGTTCAGTTTAGAAATTAGTGTGCACCATATCCACTGTCTCATCCCGTTAGACACATACTGTACAAAATGTGCCACTGGTATGATAATGAAGAGAGATGTTCTGCACTCTTGCAGTCTATAGAAAGTACACTCACTGGCCACTTTATTAGGTACACCTGTACAATTGTATGCAATTTAATGCATCACTTCTGCCATAATATTTGTGTTTATGAAGCTCAAAATGATTCAATTTTTGGTGAAATTGTCGTAAATGTATAAATTCAATTATGTTTATTATTGAGGTCACAGTTAAAGGTGAAGTCAGCTTATGCAAAAGTGTGACATTCCTTCACTTTCTTTCTCTCTGTCGCTCTCTGCCTGTTCACCTTTCACAGTCTCTATCACTTTGGCTCTATATCTCTATAGTTCACTCGTTCTTTTTCACTCAAACAAAAGATCCAGACACGCAGTTACGATGTAACTATGATTGCAGTTGCCACAACACTTGTCTCCCCCGAGTCCCCTAACAGCTAGGGCCAAGAGGACGACAGCAGTGATCTAACTGTTGGCACTGGCCATAATACTGGGGATAGATTGTTGGCCCACCCAAGCTACACATACTTAAAAACAGACATACTTGATGGTACTCATTGAAAGGTTTTTCATTTTCCATCTTTTAAAAGCTAGCTCAGGGTTTGAGGGTCTGGAGCCATTTGATCAAAGAGCAGACATTTTGTCTGTTTCACCACAGTAACTGGACAAGCTCTGCCACCTGTCTGCAAGACACGGACATGACCAGAAAACATGTTTCATACTGTGTCACGATGTTCTTCAAACCAAACCTGCAAAAATATGTTTTTTATTCAGCCAAAATAGCTTAAATCCAATGAAACAAGGAAACAGTAACACTAGGTATTTTCTAATTTCTTATATTTTATAAATGATCTGTGAGATTAATAACGGCACTTTAAAAAGAACACTGATGATGCTTACTGGCAAGTTATAATCAACAGAGAGTCATATTAATGGATCAATGAAATCTTAAATAAGAAAATAAAAATTTCCCCGATGGAAATATCCACCAGAAACAATATTTTGAGTGAAAAAGAAAAGGGGTTAACCCTAACACCTAACCCTGACCCTATTACTCTATACATACAATAGATCTGGCATTATGTTTTTCCTTTTGGTACTTAAAAAAAACTTTTAAACTAGTGGTGAGTACAGGAGGGAGTATTTGGTTGTTGTTTTTCCTTACAACAGAACATTTTGACCCAAAAAGAATGTGACCCTCAGAAAGATAATATACTGTATGTTACCCTAAAAAAATGTGTTGCCTCTGAGCTCATCTTGTCAGAGCTTGGGTGGGTTCTCAAAGCAAGGTCACAGATATTATGTTTACATTTTTTAAGAGCCAGAATGTGTCTCCCTGTGCCACAGCCCTCTCTTCTTGGTAGATAGCTGAGAAATACCCCTCGTTCTGTGCAATCAAATTTTCTTTATTTCAACATTTGGATTAGTGTTCTGGCATCGCTTGATGTGATCATTAAATTTTACTGCAGAGTCTCTTAAAATTACTTTTCCATTGACCCAAATGTGAAATTTAGTTTTATTTACTAGGGCCCATGAAACTGTATTGCCAGTGTTGCCATGGGGACCCATTTGATTTGCTTCTTCGCAACCTCAGATGCCCAAACCTGTATGTTGTGTGTTCAGAAAGGACATTTAGAATATAAAGGAAGATGGCAACCATGTTTAACTATATACTGTATTGAGTGGATGTTGTAAAATGTTCAAATATAATAATAATAATAATAA